TTTCAAGAGTGACCAGGCCAACACAAAGAGAAAGCAAGCCTCTGCGATTGCAGTATACAAACAGTCTCAGAATCTGTCTTGCTTTGTTATGAAAGTCATTTTAATTGCCAATATGTGGCTGTTGAGATGGCAGAAAATAGTTATATTGTTAAGTAAGAAAATGTCAGATGCTCAAAGAGGAGTGTGTGAAAAGAAGTCAGCAGAGATGAGAGGAGCCAGTGTCCCTGGGAGCAAGCAGCACATGGGGGCCTCTGTGACATAAACTACCATAAGAGATGGGGATCAGAAGCAAGAATGTTGACAAGTGTCTGGGACATGTGAAGGTGAAATGTCACTGTCTTCTAATTAGCAGAAACTTCAAGTTGCCTTTAAAAGAGAAGTTGATGACAGCCTGAGAATTAGATAGTCATCTAATTTTAGAGCCGAGTGCTTTACCCAACCCTGACATTTGGCAGATAAGAATACTGTTGGCTCAGAAGTGGATGGCGACATGTCCCAACCTATTCAGGATGGGGAAGGCTTCAGAGCCGAGGGCCAGCACAGGACTTGTCCTCCTCCCTTGCCTTCCTCCTCTCGGATGGAAGCTTAAGAAAATGTGGTGTCCTTTACCTGTTGATTCCTATAATGAAAGAGGTGGCCACATCAGTATGTCCATTTAGTAAAGGCTGCAATTCTTTCCCCTCATCAGTAGTAAGGTTAATTGAAAGCTGTAGCTCAATCCCTCAGACTGAAGGTAGCACCTTATAGTCAGCCTCTCTGTGGATGTAGCACCCTCCCATTTGATAGCTTTGATCTTATATTTAAATTTTCCGAAGGCTTGGCCTCTTACGGGGAGAATTTACATGGCAAGGGGGGATGGGGATTGTTGCAGGAGCCACTCAGTGAGAAGGCAAGATGAGGTGTGACCCAGAGCACAAGGTTCCCATCAAATGGCCATTTGGATTATGCCATGGTAAAGTTCCTTGTCCCTGAGATGCTCTCGATGGCCCCAGCTGACTTCAAGATACCATTTCATGATGCGTTATTGGCATGCCCCTTAAAAGATGCCCAGAACCAAGAAGTGGAAGTGACCAAGTGCACACACCTAGCTGTGACAGCAACGTGACTTCTGCACAGCTCCTCACGTCAGCTCAAGATCTCCTCCGACTCTAGAAAAGCTGACGTGTCATGACACCAGAACATCCATGTAACATATCCTCGCTGAAGGTGTTCAAGTAGCATGTTCTTCTACATGAGTTCCTACAGAGCAGTTACCCTTCAGCCCCAATGCTCATGTGGCTCTGAAGCGCATAGGAAGGCGTGAAAAGCCGAGCCACACAGGCACTAAATTACTGTTAGGAATCAACTGAGCCATTTATTTTTAGCTGCAGTCTCTAGCTTTTCAAAAATATGAAATGCTTCTCAACTTATCTTTCTAGTATAAGGAACTGTGCTAAGGTAGTACACAACACCATAGACAAGCTCACTTGTAAATAGGCACATCAAATCCTGAGTGTTTGTGAATATAAGCCAGACTTCAGGAAGGCTCAGCAAGTAGGAATTATTCCAGAAATGCAAAGAATTCAGAACTAGAAATATCAATGGATATGATCAGTCATAGCAAATTAAGGGGAAAGTTTTTTGTCTCTGTTTGACTTAATTACTAGTAAAATTTAAGAGTATTTCTTAGTATTAAACATTTGTGGCCAGTAACAGGCCTGGGGTCAGACAGTGTAGGTGTGAATCTTCACCACCTTGGAGCAGGCTGTGTAGGTGTGGATCCTTAACACCTTTCTTAACTGTTAAAGCACAAGCAATTTAAGGTTAAATCAGATTAGTCCAAAATTTTAAAGCATCACTTCTTGTGTTACTGTCAGAACCCATACAACAAGGGGGGTAGGGAGTATTTGCACATCAAGTGTCTGCTAAGGGAGCTGTGTCGAGAACAATTCCTACAACTCAACAGAAATGTAGCTTAGTTTAAAAACAGGCAAAGGATTTGCAAAGGTTCCTCCAGAGACGGTATACAACTGGCCCAAGAGCGCTTCAGGAAGACATTCAGTGCCATTAGTGATTAGTACAGTCAACCTAATCCACTCACTGCGAGACAACATCTGCCTTGGACAGCTAGGATCAAAATAACAGACAATAGCGAGTGTGACATTGATTGCATTGCTGGTGGTGGGAAAGTAAGATGGTGTGCCTGCTGTGGAAGGCAGATGGGCAAGTCTTCAAGATGTTTATCAGGGAGACACCACATGACTCAACAGAGATTCCACCTTACAGACAATGAAAACATATGTCATTTGAGAACTTACGAATGTTCTTAGCAGCTTTGCTCAGTAGTCCCCAAATACCCCAGATGCCCACTGACTGATGGATGGATTGATAAAATATGGTGATTTGTATAATGAAATATTATCTTTGAAAAGGGTTAGGGTTCCAATGGACCTTGAAAGGTTTTTCTCAATGGTCAAAATGGGTGCTCTCCTTTCCGTGAAATCTGGGGAAATGCAGATAGACAGGAAGTTAGAAGAGCAACAGTTGCCAATGCAGAGGATGGAGAGCAGAGAATGGCCGTGAAGTCTGTGTGCTAATAAAAATCTTCTGGAATCGGTTAACTGCTGTTAACCTGTGAATATACCCTAATCTCACGGACTGAATCACACTCTTTAAAAGACTGTGTATGTGAATTATATCTGAATGTTTTTAAAAGGCTTATTTTCTGTATGCGTTTTAAATTCAAAACCTACACCAGAAAGGTAAATTGTGTGTGTGTGTGTGTTTAATATATATGTACATACATACATACATACATACATACATACATGAATTTTTTGAGAGAGAGAAAGGAAGTTGTTGGTTGGTAGGTTGGTTGGCTTTTGGTTTTTCAAGGCAGGGTTTCTCTGTTTAGACCAGGCTATCCTGGAACTTGCTCTGTAGACCAGACTGGCCTCACACTCAGAGAGCCACCTACCTCTGCCTCCTGAGTGCTGGGATTAAGGGTGGGCACCACCACCATGTCTCCCTAGGTAAGAAGGTGCCCAAATGAGAGGAGTCAAAAGTGACAGATTTCCACTAACATTTGGAATAACTAAAATTAGAACCATACTTTCTATCACAAACCAAAATAAATCCCACATGGATTCAGAATTTGAATGTAAAACTGGAGATCATGAAAGCACTTCCAGAAACTATGCATGAATATTTATGGGATCTTGGTTGAGGGAAGTTCCTAGGCATGATGTAAATACCGGAATGCCATTAAAACATTTGAGAGAATATTAAATGACCCAAAGGACCTGAGGTGTGATAGAAAGGCCTTGAGTTTGATTCCCAGCACCACAGAAACAAGTGTGCATAAAAATGGAAATAATCGCATTTTAAAGGTATTGTTACATTTTAGTAAAAATAAATAAATGGTGTATGCCACAATACAAGCAGGGGTTAGCTGCCACTTGGGTGATAGACATTAGAGATTTTTTTTTCTAACTTTTCTCACTTTACTGACCTCCCCACACCCCCCACAGTGTTATTTATTTTTAAATTTGAAAAGTGGAGCATTTGGATGGTTGGTTCATGAGAATATGTAACATCTGGGTCTTCAGAGGCAAATTTAATACTAAACTCTAGAAAAACGAGGCTAGCTTTGCAGAGCACATCGGGGCAATACTTGCATGCCTACCTGTGTGATTGTGTTGCAGGGTGTGGGTTGCTCCATCTGGACTGGATAATTGTGTGCCCTCCACCACACATACACAATATCCTGATGTTTTCTCTTACCTCCCCAGTGTTTGGGGTTTGGGTTTGCTATGCTTTGTCTTGTTTTTAAGAGAAGCCATATGCTTGGGGAAGAAACTCTTAATTCACAGTGTTGGCATCTAAGGGAAAGCCAGATGCCTGTTTCATCTTTCTTTGCCTTACCTACAAAGAATGAGTTAGCACAGCGTTTCCGGTTCCCACAACCTTTGGGTTCCCAGCGTTTTGTCTCCTCAGGAGAGGATTTGGCTAAGACACAGCAGTATCCTATAGCCAAAGCAGAGTCACCTACTTGGAAGGCGAGGCCTCCCATGGCCCTTCATGGTCCAGAAAGACTACCGATAACGTGTGATAGAAATAGAGCGAGCTATCTGGAGACCAGTGGAGAAAAGAAAAGGTTTTAAGTGTCACACCACTTGTTCTGCTGTTGGTACTCCTCTTCTGAGACACGATTCAACTATGACAGTTTCTCATGTTAAATGCTCTTCATCTTTACCATGCAGATAAGAGCCAAGTGAATGCATCTTGCTGGGGTTTTTTCTACCATGTTTCAATAGTTCTTCCTGTTTAAAAGTAAAAACCTTTTTGCTGAGACCATCTCTCCTGTTCACGGGTGGTGGGGGGCTGGGGTGGGGGAGCTAGTGGACATTTCCTCGCACCTTTCTCCTGGTTGTAAACAGCATGACTCTGAGCACCTGATCCCTGGCTTCCTCCCTTTATGCTAATGAGGAAAGCCTGTGGCTCTTGGGCTGGACCGAGATTGGCAGGCAGCTGCTTCTGGTATTAGAAGGCTTAGTGATAACAGTTTCCAGCCAAGTCACTTCACAAGATGGCTATAAAACAGCATGAGCGCGTGTCTTTGGGCCACACATCCCATGAGAACCTGTGTGCCTCTCTTGTGGTTACATGTTCTGCACTTTTTCTTCTTAAGTTGACTTTGATGACAGGGGGCAAGACACTAGCTAGATTGAAGGGCAAGGATGTGTCCTTTTCCTCTGAGAAGAAACGCAAGATTCTTACCATGGCTTCTTTGGCATCAGTGGAGGATTCCACAAGTTGGTACTGAGAACTGAATACACAATGGTCCTGATGGGTGCTGTACTGCCAGGGTGCTGGTCCCCGGCCCCTGCCTGTAATAGGTGTAAGTGTAATGGGACCCATGTGCGGAGGCCCTGCTGTGTGCCCTGGTACCTGCAATCATGACTTCCATCACATCTGGGTTCAGCTAGACTCATGCGTGCCTCCCATTGTCTCTTTCTTAGGAGCAGCCTATTGCCAGTTCATGGACATGCTCTTCCCGGGCTGCATTAGTTTGAAGAAGGTAAAATTCCAAGCAAAGTTGGAGCATGAGTATATTCACAATTTTACACTTCTGCAAGCATCATTTAGCGGATGAATTTGATAAGGTAAGGAGCATGTTAGTACCCCTGTAAAATGCACTCTTTTCTTCAAAACTGCTTTTAGTATTTTATTGTTTTTAAATTGTGTGTATGTAGGTTTGTACATGTAAGTGCAGTGCCTGCAAAGGCTGTAAAATGGTGTGGGATTATCCAGGAGTCGGTTACAGGTGACTGAGAGCTACTCAATGTGGGCGCTGGGAATTGACCTCCAGTCCTCTGGAAGAGCACTATCCATGCCTTAGCCATCGATCCAGAGCCCTTACAGTAGTAATCAAAGATGAAAACGTCTGAGGGATGTACATGGATATCTCACCATGTGGGGGACTGTACATACAAGCAACAGCCCTGCCCCCACCCACCCACTCACCCACACCATGCCTGTGAGGTTTTAGTTTTAGGAAATCCTTAACCCTGTAGCCATCAGACACAAACCTCTTTGCAGAAGTCCTGAATGTTAGAGCCCTAGGTCTTTAGCTTCTCCGTGTTGCAAATGAGAGGCTTTGAGTGTTCACCAGAGGCCTCTGGGGTCCTTTGGGTATTTTGTCCCTTTGGAAAAACAAATTGTTAACAGGAACCACACTGAGTTTGAGTCTCAGTTCCATGACTGATGCAAGTAATATAAAATTTCTAGGTGTCTCACAGCCCCTCTGTGAAAGAGGACTGGGGCCCTCCTTCCTCGTGGTTATGATATGATAATGAGGAGATGCCTGTGAAGTGTCCAGCATAGTGCATCCCTCAGACTCCATCATCCCGGGAATGTTGCTTTCCACCTTTGAAGCATAGCTTTGCCCTAGAATGACACAAGGTCCTCCTGTCCTCTGTCCTCCCAACAAGGGACTCAGGGGCTAAGATCGGCTAGTCTCTCTCAGTAAGTGCTGACTGCTCTTCAAATGTTCTCTTACTGTATGTGTTCGTTACACAGGGCATTTCTCTTAGAATGAGTATGACTGGCCATATGTCTTAGAATGAATAAGCATGACAGGATATGAATTTCAAACAAAGGGGAAAGAGATAAAGCAGCTTATGAGAAACAACTCTTAAAAGAGCAGTATTGTAAAAGAATAAATAGGCTACAGGATACAAAGTGGGTACTAGATTATAAGGTATAAAGGTTAAGAAAAGTATAGTAATTCACACAGGCCATCACTTCCCTAGATTAGAAGCAGAAAACCTGGCTCGTCTCTTCTGGGAATGCTGATTTTAAATTGTATGGACTTAGCCAGGCATGATGGTGCACACCTGTTGGTTCCAAAGGCTGAGGCCTTGGGAATTTAAGAACATCCTGGACAACACATGCAAGTCCCCCTTCTCAAGAAGAAACAGTATGTATGTTTCCTCTGTGAAATCTTTACTTTTATTCCTTTTGCTGTGGCTAATCTCCAGGTAGCTCTTTTTCCACATGCCCAGCTGTACAGGCTTTCCTTACTTTTCAGAGAGTACATGCTTGTACATTAGAAGGAAGAAACACACACACACACACACACACACACACACGGGGTGGGGGGGTCTGGCTGGAACTTGGCTGTGAATCAAATCAGAGAGCTCTGTGCATCTTTCTGTAAGTGAACGCACAGAAAATCTAAGAATGTTGAAAAACAAGTTTGCAATGGCAGGAGACTGGCCTTGGCCTCACCAGCCTGTCAGCCCAGGAGCACCAGGGTGCTGTGATTGCCCAAATCCTTGAGAGACAGTAAGTGTCATGTACCCATCATGTCTGTCATGCCCAGTGTGTTAGAGGGCTCCTTTGAAGCTTATGTCCCCAACTGGGAATGCAAAATTAAGTCAACAGCAGTAAGAGCTGCCTTGTGGCTACCGTGTCCACCATCATGTAAAATTCTCACACGTAGGCAGCAGACAAATTGCTTCAGTTGTTCAGGAAGGACCTCGTGCTCCAAGTCACTTATCAGTTGTCAGTCAGTCTCTCCGAAAGCAAGCAGCAGACATCAACTGTAATAAAACATCCAGCAAAGTCAATGAGGTACAAACGGGCCTGGAATTCAGTGAGAGTTCGAGGGAGGGAGAGGAGGGACATGGCAGCACCCTAGGCTCCGGGACCAGAAGCAGCTTGATGAAAAATGCGCCTTCCAGAAACTTCTCTTTATTTTGTTCTGCACCTATGTTGCTTTCTATTGCAGCTGCACTTAAATATTTTTGGAAAAATATATCACTGATGACTTAGCTAAACAGGTAGCCGAAGGTTCTCCCCTCACTTTTTCCTCCAAGTTATGGTTGATGCTTAAGGGCTTTCTGTTCTTTTTTTCCAGTTGTTTCATTTGCTTTTGAGATTATAAGATCATTTTTCCCCTTCCCTTTCTTCCCTCCATACCTTCCTATACTCGCCCCTCCTTGCTCTCTTTCAAATTCACGGCCTCTTTTTTCATTAATTGTTCATTGTACCAGAAAGTCCCAGGCATATTCCAAGGAGGGAGGCAGCACCGGATGGCATGGTAACCAGCGTGCCCTCGTGGCACACATACTTCAGAGGTGGCCAACAGCTCGCTTCTTGCCCTTTCATCAATAGGAAAGTCATGCCTGGCACAGGAAACCTAGCCAACTACTCAGCTAGTGAAGTCAGTGATTGTGGAGGAGAACCTATGGCCACCATTTTCTATTCTTTTTAACGTGTCCCTGTTGGCCTTTATGACCATCAATGGCATATGGTTTCCAAGGCGGCAACGCTTTGCTGCTGCAGGGTGGTCTCTTCAGTTTCCATTCATGTTGTCATGCCCCAAGGCTGTGTCTCCTGCACACTGGGCTTCTTCTGTCTTGGACACACATACACATCTGCATTCTGACTCAAGACTTAGTTCACTCTCCCATGGTTCTCATTTGGTTGTCACCCGATGATAGAAGAGGCAAAATCTAGTAACTGTGCTATGTGGGAAGCATCATGATATAATTCCATTTTCCTTAAAAAAAAAAAAAAAAAAAATAGTGACCCACTGAATAAGCTAAGCAGTCAAGGACCTCCCCCCCCCCCCATTCCTCTTTCTCTGCCACATTCCAAAGGTTCCTGGGAGAGCAGGCAGGGAATCCTGGCTGATTCTTTGAATTGTAGTGGAAAGGTTACTCTGAAAAGCTGAGTTTCGAGTTTTGAAGTTGCTATGCAAGCCATGGCTTTCTTTGCATGTTCCCATGACCCCCCTTAATGAGCGCCTTCCTCTCTGCCTCTGCAATCCCATGAACCTTTGCGCCCTGCACTGTGTTAGTTGGGATGCTTGCCGCTCTACACTTTAGTAAGCTCTGTTCCTGGTGACCCATTGATTCAGGATTTCACTGGCCTGCCCCTGGTTCGTGTGCTCTAGGTGGTAGCTATAATCCTTATAGGAGTTTATCTCACTACAGCTGGGCCAAGGGTTCACAAAGAAGCAGGAAAGCATTTCACCTTTGAAACCGCACAACATCCCAAGCCTGTATATTTTTGTGGGGAGACTGTTAAACTATAAATATCCTACACATGAGAGAAGTCCCCTATTTTGTTCTCTGGTTTTGTATATTGGCTTTTCCGAGATGAGGCCTCACTGTGTGGCTCAGTTTGTTCTCAAACTCATAATCCTGCCTTGGTCTCTCAAGGGCTAGGATTACAGGCGCATGCTACCATCAGACCCGGCAGATCACCCCCCATCTCGACAGCTAAGGATGTTCCTTTATTCAGGAAGTATTACATTTTCCATGACAATCCACTCTTTTTTTTTTTTAATTGGTTCTTTAAATAGTTAAAATTGTGTTAATTCTAGAATACTGCTGAGAAAATAGGCAGGCAGACAGTCGATGGTCAAGAGCTGTAAGTCACCAAAGAGACAGCTCAGTGGTTTAAAAGAGGACTCTGGTCCAGTTTTTCGTCCCCAACACCTGGTGGCTCACAGCCATGTGTGACTTCAGTTACAGGGGATCCAGCGCCCTCTTCTGGTCTCAGCAGGCCCCATGCACACATGGTGCACATACAGACAAGCAGGCATCACGGACACATATATACAATTTTCTTAATTTTGTTCATCAGAAGACCCGCAGGCAAGCCGTTCTTGGGATACATTTTCATAACACTCTAAAGAAACCTGAGGTTTGTGACTCATGGAGTGACCACACGTTGCAGGTAATTCCAGTGGAGAAGCTGGTGAAAGGGCGTTTCCAAGACAACCTGGATTTTATTCAGTGGTTTAAGAAGTTCTACGATGCTAACTATGATGGGAAGGAGTACGATCCTGTCGAGGCACGACAAGGGCAAGATGCAATTCCTCCCCCTGACCTGGCGAACAGATCTTCAACCTGCCCAAGAAGTCTCACCATGCAAACTCCCCCACAGCCGGGTATGTCACTGTCCTTGTGGAGAACGGCTCGGGCTGTCTCCTCTGCTTCAGTCTGAGCGTGGAGCTGACGGTGCTTCCATGCTTTTAGTGTTGTCTGCTTTCACACTGGTTTTTCTGTGACCCATTTGTCATGAATCTAACGATTTTGATTTCCGATAGTAAAGGCAGAGCCACACATGCTGTGAAGATAATCCCCCTGGAGATGGATTTCTTTTTCTCTCTTAATTTTTGTCTAAGAAGTTTTTAGTAGTCTGCTTAGATCTTCATTAAAATATTTGTATGGCTTAGTAGCCGGCAAGACAGACCATAATACAAACTGACTTGTGCTGTTAAGCGTGGTCCATTTTCCGTAAGCACTCAAAGAAAATTAGTGATCGCTTTTTGTATGTAATGTGGATCCTTCATTTAGTATACGTCCTTGTCCTAAAAAGGGAAATCATTGAGGACACATACCTAGAACAGCCAACTTGACCAGATGAGGTGTGCTCTGGAGAAATGGTGTAATTATTATAAATGCTAGTTGTGTTGTGTACTAGGCCATTTAACTGTGAAACTCTCAGAAACTTTTTTCCATCTCAAATGCAGAGCCCATTGTTCAGACTTATTACAATAAGGATTTTTTTCTGCCCATCTTACTATAGTCAGTATGGATTAGACATGATTAATACTAAATACAGGTAGCTTTATAATCATACTTTTCCTCACTGCTTAGAAATCTTTTCCTTCTTTTCTATCTGAATCCTTAGCTATAGCCAGGGAATCTGTGTCCCTTGGAAATATGACATCTTAAAAAAGATTTTTGAAATATTTTTGTTTCACAAAAAAAAAATTGACCTAGCAGTACTGGTGTACACCTTTAATCCTAGCACTCAGGAGGCAGAAGAAGGTGGATCTCTGTGAGTTCAAGGCCAGCCTGCTCTACACAGCAAGTTCCAGGACAGGCTCCAAAGATACACAGAGAAACCCTGTCTCGAAAAACCAAATAAATAAATAAAAATAATTGTTTGAGATAATAAGATCAGCTTGTATACTTACCAGTCTTGTAGATGAGGTCTTCTTCCGTGGGATAACACAGCAGAAGGAAAGAATACATATGTCTGGGATGTTTGGGAAGTAACTGGGCTTTGGTAATGGGTGGATGCTGGGTGAGCAAGCAGCTGCCAAGTGTGACTCTTGCTGTGTCTCCCACACTTGGAAAGATGAGGTTATCATTCAGGAAGTGCTGAGAGAGCTGGATTTGAGAAGAAATTGTATTTATCTTCACACACTGAGTTTCAGGTTTCTTTGCAGCATCCAAAAGACTATCTAAATGTGTGTGTGTGTGTGTGTGTGTGTTTGTGTTTGTGTGTTTGTGCGTGCGTGTGTGCACGCACGCCATGCCAAACAAGACATAAACATTTGTGAGTGTTCCATATCTTGAAGCTGGAAGCGAATACAGAATGATAAGGAGGGGGCTGCCTTCAAGAATTCCTAACAATTATGTGAGTAGTGGGAAAAACTTTCCTGGAATGCAGAGAAAATGCCAAAAGATTGGAAGAAACTAAGGAGTGGCTTTCAGGAAGCAGAGGAAGGAGCTGGGATGATTGACAGTTTCTAACTCTGCAAGGAGTCAACTAAAGTGAAGCCTGGAAGAGTTTGTTGGATTGTTCAACTTGAAAATCATTCATGAAATGATGAGACAAGGCCTGCATTAAGGAATGAGTTGGATAAAGGACACTGAGGTCCAAGTCCACTGTTGGAATGAATGGGTGTGTAGATAAAGAATGCTGAGCACAGATCACTGTAGTTAGACACGCGTAAAGGGAAGAAGCCTTTCAAAGGGATGAGCGCAGACCAGTCAAGAGAATTCAAAGCATTAGTAGTGTGTGAAATCACAGAGACCTAGAATATTTTCTTTCTTCCACAATCATACTGTGACCTTAATTTTTTGGCCTCAGCTCCCACATTTCTCTTCCAAGCGGAACTACAGTATGTTGCTTTGCCCTCATTATCTAAGAATTCCCTCATCTGTGTCTCACAGAGAAACAGTGGGAAGTTTCTAGAAAGAGGGTCATGAATATTAAATGTGGAAATATGATGTGCAATGAAACGTGAAAGTAGTGTGTAGAGAGCTGACTCCCAGGGTGTGATTAATCACCCTTTGGAGAACTGGTTCTGGGACACTGGGCACTGGAGTCTGGGTCGCAGCAATTGAGCAAGACCAGGTAGGATGTGGAAGTGAGGACCTTTATCAAGGATACAACTGCGGAAAATAAGAAGCTGTGGTTGTCGGGAGAGGGGGAAGCTCGGGGAGAGATGAGAACCGTGCTCTAATTGTGTGCTTTAGGGAACAACCCAAAGTTATCAGATTTGTAAGGTCAGGGAAGAATCTCTGAGGAGCCAACCGGGAAAGAAGAGGAGAGATTAGAGGACTGTGATCCTGAGCATGGAGGAGAAGGTGAGGTCAAGGGCTCAGGGGTTAATGGAAAAGGGAAGATGTATTTTCTGGAGCAGAAGCCGAAGGGAGGGTTGGATGAAAATTAAACCACAGGGAGATTGGGAGGCAAAATTTGATGCAGTTCAAACCGGTCACCTGCTTCTGTCAGCAGCTGTCATCAGTCTCGAGTCAGAGTAGAGCTGTGCTGACGGCATGTCCCGGGACTGGGATTCGGGAGACATGTGCAGGACTCGTTGAGAACCCAGGCATGCTGCCATTTCCCTTCTTGATGTCCTTTTTGTAGCTGTTACTGGTGGACAGATTGGCTTTGAAACTCAACTGCATTTTTTAAAATTCGAATAGTAAAGCTCAGAATACTTTTCTTCCACAATCATGATGCATCTTTATCTTATTTTTGTAACCCTTTTAGCACTTGTTAGCACTTCTACTCTTCTACCCAGAACTAGGCCACGATGGCTAGCCCTCTCACAAAAGCCACAAAGTAACCTTGCTGTTTTTGATAGAGATCACCATGAGCCTGAAAGAGAAATTTGTTTTTCAGGCGCTTAGCCTCTGGTGACTAAGCCAGGAAACAGATGAAGTCAACAGTTAATACTTTTTTTTTTGTGTGTGTGTGTGTGTGTGTGTGTGTGTGTGTGTGTGTGTGTGTATGTATGTATGTATGTATTTATGTATTCCAGAAGGCAGAGATTTCTGATATCGCACCCCACATGCCATGATGGTGTTTATTTTTGTTGGCCTTATTTATGGAGGAATGGTATTAATCACACCCCCACACCCCTCCCCCGTTAATCAAATGTGTCCTGAAGATTCGACATTGTGGGGAAGTAAGATTTTACTAGAGAAAAATTATCACAAGATGTACATCACATGTGGGATATAGCTTTTAAAGACCATAATGGGAGAAAGGCCCTTAGAGAGTCGGAAGGCTCCAACTTTCTTGAAGTCCTGCACCCAGATATTGGGAACATGGCCAAGAAAATAAGTCAAACATTTCCAGAAAGGCAGGAGAGGTGCTGGAAAGGCTGTTCATAGAATGCAGGTTTCTAGGGCCTTTCCAGAGTCTGTGCACTTTTCATGGCGGTGTACAATATAGTAGAACATGAGGATCTCAGTTCCTGGCACGTGACCTGTTAGGACAGGACACACAGCACAAACGGCACTCAGAGCTCCAAGCCTTAAGTTGGGAAGTTTACCAGAATTGGGTAGCCTGGATATGTGCTGCAAATCTAGCTGTTGCATGAGTTCCACATGTGTGGGTGGGTGTGATGTATAGTAGTAGGTCTCGGGGCTCACTTAGAATTCTCTGTTCAGAACACTGACCCATAACCTCTGTAATGTGATTGCAATGCATATATGTGGTATGAGTTGTCCTTCGCCCAAGACTGCAAGTCTGACTTTTTTGTTCAAGACTGGGGATGAACCCTAAGTGCTTGATGAAGTGGGTGGAGCTAGATCCGTAACTTACAGCCACTAATCTGTTTTCATGTTGAAAGCTTGAGCTCTTCTTAGCTATCTGTATCCTTGAAAACAAGTAATGGCTTGTATGGTTGGAAATAGGATGGGGGCTGGCACTTTGGAATACTTGGTTAATTTTGCAGTGGATGGATCTCTCCTCACAGATGTGCCTTAGGCTGATTTAACTTGCATGCCTGGCAGCTTCAAAGCATCTTGTATGACAGAGGACCAGATTACAGTGGGGGAGGTGGTGTGGATGTAATGCCATGTAGTAGTAATTGAGAGGACACTGTCTGTGCTAGCAAGGAAAGAAAATCCTGCTTTTATGGCATCTGTGCTGTGTTAACATCACACCAGAGATGGCTTCCTTAATAAAAATAGATGCTCTCCACACATTTGGTTTTATTCTTTCTGAGACGCATGCTAAATTTCTCTACCATTTCAATGCAGATAAGAAACTTCTCCTAAGGACTCGAAGCATAAAGTTGGTTGATATCTGTATAAGTGGACAACATACCTCTACTATAAACAACGTTAATATGAATGGGTTTTCATGTAGGGTGAATAGCTGCCAGGTAATATCAATTCTGACTACATTTTGAGGAGCTGTGTTTTCAATTGATTTTGCCTACCACCCCCAACCCTGTTTAAATCTACATGTCACAGTGACAGCTATCTGTTAAGTGCATACGTCATCTTGAAATATGATGTTTCTAAGTGTAATTGTCCTGATACTTCCTGCAATTCAATAGCTGTCTGGGGAGATAGGCTTTGTATGTGAAGACTTACAAAACATAAAAGAAATTCAACATTATGGTTTCCCTTAGCGACTCAAGACACATTAAGATTCACATACGCTAATGTATTTAAATTAGACTCTCAAATATAAATATAGTGTGGAGAGATTTAGGTTGCTATGGGAATTGGGCTTTCTCTCTTCCTTAGAGACCAGTATTTCAGCCTTAAAATCGGGTTAGGAGAATGCTAGAAAAGTGGTTCCAAAACAGAAGGTACCTAAGCAGTGACAACGAGATGTCCTAATAATCCTTGTTAAATCCATAGATGTAGATTTGAGTAAATCCTAATAGTATTAAAAAAAAAAAAAAAAAAAACAACTGTGTTGAAGACTGAATACTCTGATCTGTTGGTGCAGTCTTCAAATGTGACTGAGTTTCTCCATTTATTTGCTAAGC